GTATGCCCTCTTACTTTGTTCAATTCTGGAGTAGCACTGTAGGTTGGGGGTGGTCCTTTTGCAGTTTTGAGATTTACTTAAGGGGAGATGTGATTCAAAATCTATCTGCAGGTTCTGGTATTCGCCGACAGGTGTATGGATAATCTGAAACCCACTTCCCACTGCCTTGGAATCTGTCTGTGCAGTGGGGCTGTAGGTTTTCCCCCAAAATAAAATGGGGTTAGCAGAGGGAAGAGAATGGAGCAGAGAGTGGGGGGAAGAGGGGGGTGGAGAGAGAGAGGCATAAAGGGGGAAACAGACAAGTGTACCAAGAAATGGAGAGAGAGACCTAAACTGAAATAGATAAAAACAATAGACCACGGCTACAGACTAACCAACTCCCATACAAAAAAAATAAAACATACAATGATGCTAACTATACAAGCTAACCAACCACCTTATTGGTGTGCTGTTCCTCTATACAAAGATATGGTTTACAGAGAGGAGAAAAGAGAAGAAAAGGAAGAGGAAAAGAATAAAAAAAGGAACAAAACAGTAGGAATAGAATTAATTCATTAAAGTAACAGAACCAATCGAGCACCCTCTGAGGCTTTTCGTTTAAGTCTAATGTCCTTTCAGCTCTGGTTTCTAGCTGTGTTTTCAAGCTGGTAAATTAGTTCGCAGTTAGGGTCAGTTGCCCCTGGCCTGCTGTGAAGGACAGTTCAGATCACCCTCCGTTCACCGCTCAAATCTGGCCTGTGTCTGTTTTTCAAGTTTGTTTCTCCCGTTTCAGTGTTGTTACCTTGAATCGCCAGCAGGTGGTGCTTGCCCCAGAGGGAGTGGGGCTAGACAGGAGTCAGGCAGAGGCAGAGATGGGAGCTTGCCTCAGAGCATACGGGAGGAGACCCACAGCCGGCAGGACGTTAAGGTGGCAGCAGAGGTGGCAGAGATCCCAGCAGATCTTGCCTGCAGGGGCTTCAAGGACTGAAGTCGTGGATTGCCTCAGGCACGGGTGGCGCAATGCGCTATGGCCACCATGGAGACCACGGCGCGCCGGCGGCTGCTGTGTCTCCAGCTGCAGTGGCTGTCCAGACTGCTGTGATGCCCCAGCGGTGGCATTGGCCGAGCTCTGTGGAGAGCAGGCTGCCAACGTTGGGGTCTGCAGCCCCTGGGGAGAGAGCCAGAGACCTTCTGCGTTCTCCTTTGCAGAGGGTTTCATAGACCAGGTTGCCCTGTCGCCATCTTGCTGGAAGTCCCAAAATGTGAGACTTTTTAACGAGTTGTCAGTTATACACATGTAGTTATTAGAGTGGGTTATCAAAAACTGAAAATCATGATGAATTATAGGAAATACTGAAATAATAATAATTACATTTGTTCTTTATTGAAATATAACTGGCACTTACCTAGCTCTTTTTCAGGCTTTTTCACTTCTTCCTCTTCCTTTTTTTTTTTTTTTCATCCTGAAGTCATTCCTATCTCCTTGCCTAGTTTCTCTTTGATTCATCAACAGGCCTATGGGGCTTGGTCAGAACATTTTTCTAACATTACAGATATTTATTTTCTAGAATATACTGTGTCCCACTGCACCCTTTATAGCTGGCAAGATGTTATGGCAATATAAATTCAAGTTATTGGAATAGAAGCTTAAATAAAAACAAATAATCTCTCACAAACATTATTCATTCTGTTATCTGGAAACAGGCATTCCTAGGCCTCTAGCATGTTAGGCAATGTGTGTGCCTGCCCTTCTCCTCAGTTAGAGGTGAATGAAGGTCTCTGGAGTCATCATCCCCCTGGCTCCTCTAGCACACTTCTCAAGGTTGCACTCATGACTCTTGCTTGCTCTGCAATGTTCTGCGTTTTAGCTTTATACTTGGCTCCCTGGATTATTTTATAACCCACTTTTCTTAGGTTTACTGGTAATGAAAAGGGAAGAACAACTTCTCTGAATAATGGTATCATTTTCTTATTTCCTTTCCCATGTTCACTAGATTCCAGTCATCCTTAGGGTTTTTCTTTCCAGTCCATCTACCAATCCCCTTCTCAGGTGCTTTTTGGGTCAAGCCAATCTATGCTAGTGACAAAGTATGGATACATGGACCATATATGTTTACAATTATATTACATTGCTGTCAGGAATCGTAAAACTCTGGATGAGAACTATGAATCCAGGTTGTGATGATACATTGATTTGAGTTTTGCAGGTGACATACAGGTCATGACATCCAGAAGGCAATTGGAAATAGAATTAAGACCCATAGGAGGAGTGGTGAGAGTTATAGATTTTAACGTTATTTTTGAAGCTATGGAAAAGACTGTGATTAAATTGTCCTGTAAAACCAGAGCACAAGCTGGTAGACATGGATCAAGAGTACAAGGTCGTGTACTCTTATTGACATGTGATACTCGATCCCAGTGACTCTTAGTGGGACATTTTACATGATTTATAAACACTATTTTGTAACACTGAATGAAAATAGCAAATTTGCTTTAAATATGACCTCAAGGTCTACTTACACTACTTTTTGAAGCAAATTATATAATTAACAGTTACACATTTTTTACATTGGGCTGAGTACAGTAACACACTGATAATCCCAGCACTTTGGGAGGCCAAGGCAGGAGGATCACTTGAGGTCTGGTGTTTGAGACCAGCTTGACAACATATGAGACCTTATTGCTACAAAAAATAAAAAAATTTAGCAGATGTGGTGGTACACACATGTAGTCCCAGTTACTCAGGAGACTGAGGCAGAAGGATTGCCTGAGCTCGAGAGGTTGAGGCTGCAGAGAGCCATGACCATGCTGCTCCAGCCTGGGTGACAAAGAGAGATTTTGATTAAAAAAAAAAAAAAAAAAGATAAGAAATTAATCATAGATGCTCTTATTACTAAAAATATTTCAAAGTGAGAGATCCTAGGTAAAATTTAATTTTTAAAAATCTACTATAAAAATGGCTATGCTTAAATGTTAGAAACAGCTGATCTAGTTCATCCTTTTTGTTTTACAGATGAGGAAACTGAGGCTCAGAAGTTACTTGACTTGTCTAGGGTCCCACAGGCAGTTAACTCATAAAACAAAATGCCTGTACCTAAACAGCAGACAGTTTATACAATAGATCATATTTTTTAAAGATCAAAAATAGATCAAATGATGCCACATCCATTTAATTTATTTCAGTTAGATTGATTTGGGCATTATTCATTGCACATCTGTTGTCTGTTTCTCCTCTTCCCTTTTGGATACGTACATGGATTATCATCTGGGCATCTGCTTCTTCCCCATATTCCTTGTACTTTGAGCAAAGTTGACTGTAGCTGTTGAGCAGGGTCTTGACTGCTTTATACAAGTTGCTTGGTTTACTTGGTTTCCTTATGCCAATAAAACTTTCTGCAGCAACGGAAATCTTTTAATCTATACTGCCTAGTACTGTAGCCACTAGCCACATGTGGCTCTTGAGCATTCAAGATAGGGTTGGTGTGACCGAAAAACTTAATTTTTAATTGTAAACAGGTATATGTGGTTAGTGTCTACTTTATTGGATATTGTAGCTTTAGACCATTATGTCTTCCTATAGGCATGTGACCTAAGCAGTACAATGAAGGTGTATCCTGCTTGGAATTCTGTGGTATAGTTTCCTGATAGATATGAAAATGGCAATATTTATCACTTATTGCTATTGGCAGCTCTTCTATGGCTTGCTAAGTATTGTGGATAGAAGAGTGAAGAACCAGAAAAAAATATGGGCTCTGTAGACATTAGTGAGTCCTGGATCAATGTGAGTCCTGAACTTCCAATGACATGAGCTAATGAGTTACCTTTGATATGTAAACCAGTTTGAGTTGGATTTTCTGTCATTTCTACCATGAGTAAGGGAGCAGATACAAAGGTATGGGATAGGCTTTATGTTTTATATAAGCTTTTGGGTCTCTGATGGGCATTGTCAGAACACATCTTGTAACTGAGGGAGGGGGCCATGTGGTAAAAGGGTAATGTGAACTGGGCTCCAGTTCTGCTCCGCTACATGTTTGCCACATGAACTTGGACAAAACACTTCTCTCATCCTAAGGTTTTTGTTTGTAAGTGGGGATTACAATATTTTACACCTGTAAGAATAGGGGCCCAAGTGGGTTTATGCACACACCAGACTTTACGTTACTTTCTAGGGAAAGAAAAGTGAGTACAAAGTAGAATCTAGATTCTGGTCCTTGAAGTGCACTCAGTCCTGAAGAGGAGAAACAGTAACAGACATGTGTTCCAGATCTTGCCTGCTCTGACCCCTTCAGTGGGAATCGCCCCACTAAAATGGCAAATACAGTCAGTCTGCCCCATCCCTAGGGCCTTGGCTGGACCATGAGTAGACTCCTGACTCAAGGAGAATCAACACATTGACTGGCCAGTGACCTATTAGATATTTTTCTCCATAGCTTGAGGGCTCTGGAGCTGAAATGTCACATGGAATCAGGGCTGGAAACAAAGTTATTAGGGAACACAGGCTCTAGTAACTACAGACAGTGAAATATAGAGATGAGGAACAGATTTGCAGGGAAAGGGAAGGAGGCATTATTCAGAGAGGAAGGGGGACAGGATAAAAGAAGCTATAGGAGAAAGAGAGAGAGAAAAAAGAAGACAATGTGTTCCCTGGGCCTTGAAAGATGAGTAAGGTTTGCCAAGTGAAAGATGATAAGGAATATTCTTTTTATGAACTAGGTCATAGAGGTGAATCGTAGGTAGGATCCATGGTAGGGAGTCTGGAGTGGAGACTAGAAAGAAAAGAGGTTATAGAGAGGTTTTGCAGAGTTACTTGTGGCCACTAAGAACTCTGGGTAGTAGATAGTCATCCAAGGTTGTTGCAGAAAGGAGACTGGTTGTTAGAAAGTGGGGAGAAACTGGGGTATGGCAGAGGACCATTAAGACTAGAGATCCTGGAAAACCTGACTAAGAGCAACAGCAGCTGGAATGTGGAGGAAGTAGTAGATTAGCGAAGCATTTCAGAACTGGAATTGACAGAGTTCCATGGCAGATCAGACATAGGACTTAGGTAGAGAAGGATTCCAGAATGAGGTTAACAGATTTCTAGCTTAGCAACTGCATGGGTGCTGATGTTCTTAAATGGAAAAAAAAAAAAGACTAAGAATGAGGACTATGAATCAAGATTGTGATGATATGCTGACTTGAGTTTTGCAAGTGATGTTCAGGTCATGTCATCCAGAAGGCAATTGGAAATAGAATTAAGATCTGTAGGAGGAGTGATCAGAGTTACAGATTTTAACATTATTTTTGAAGCTATGGAAAAGACTGTGATTAAATTGTCCTGTAAAACCAGAGCACAAGCTGGTAGATATGGAAAACTCAGGAGTCAGGAGTAGGGATGGGTAATTGAGAAGTAACTTTGATAAAGATTTTGAGAGCCTATACAAGATCTAGAAGAAAAGTGTATGGAAATGTGCATTTTCAGTTGCTTATAGCCGAATGACTGAAACTGGATAATTTATAAAGAAAAATATTTTATTTCTTATAGTTATGAAGTCTGAGAAGTCCATGGTTGAGGGGCCGCGTCTAGTGAGGGCCTTCTTGCTGGTGGAGACTCAGCAGGCAGCACAGGGCAGCAGAGGGCAACACATGCGGAGGGGGTTGAGTGTGCTCGCTCAAGTGTCTCTTTCTCTTCTTATAAAGCCTCCAGCCCTACACCCATAATAATTTGTTAATCCATGAATGGATTAACCCATTCATGAGGGCAGCTCTTTTAAAAACCCTTCCTCTCAAAATGACCACATTGGGGACCAAATTTCAACATGGGTTTTGGAGGGAACAAATATTCAAACTATAGCAGGAAGTAAGAAGGAGAGGATGAGCACTTGAAAAAACAAAGGAATTCTTCTTTTTCCCTTAGTGGGTGTCAGGTGAATAAAGATTATTTTCATTAAAAAAAAACCCTTAATTCTCATAGTTGTTTAAAATTGGGTTCTATTCAGGGCAGACCCTCCTCTCTTTGCTTTTAATCATTATATTGTAAGAATGTATTGAAAGAGAAAAGTTCAATTTGGTGCTTATTGAACATACAGTATGCCCAGGAACCTAAGGATAAGCTCTACATGGGGACAGCTCATGTCTTCATCCCTGCTTTTCCCTCTCTGAGATTCTAAAGCTGTTTGTCTGTGAAGTTTGATTTCAGGTCTTCGGACTCCAGGAAGGGAAGGCTCAGTCAAGTAGCTCTTCCTTTTTCATTCCCCTGTTCAGCATGTGCCAGGTTTATTCA